CAAATCAAGAGCAGTGACCTGTTGGGACACATTCTAGATCAGAGGCAGTGCCACCAGTCTCTGCTGTTTTCATCATCAAAATGACATCTACCCTTTGGTATGTTGGAACTTTATCAGAGCTATCATTCAACAAGAGGTGGTAAAGTCCACAAGGCCAGAAGATAGAGGGGTGTCAGTACACCTGGCATCAATAGAGGAAAGGCAGATTTAGGCCTTTTCAGGACACAAGTCACAGAAGTAGAATGGATTACACACCAAGTGCACCCCTAGATATACCCATCTTCAACCAGGCGAGTTACACAAATTTGCTAGTTCTCACACTGGCAAGAAAAAAATATATCCTTCTCCCCCCCCCCCCCCCCTCACACAGATGCATTCACTCACACTCACTCTTGCAAGACACAAGCTATAAGGAAGGGATAAAAAATATTGGAAAACTATTTTGTCACACTCCCTGTGACAGACTCGTGTACTTTGGCATGCATAACTGGTGCACTATGGTAGAATTGCATATGCCTCCTGTTGTCAGTGGGTCCAGTGAACTTCGACCCTTCATTAGGGCAAGAGCACAAGTAATGTGACTTTTATTATGTCCCCAAGATAATCCTACAAACAAATGGTTATGCTGGGGTGAGGGTTAGCACCCCTCCTCTTCAGCAAGTGAGGCAGGCTGTGGATCCTGCTGGGAAGAGGACCATGAGGACAGGAGTTACCTATCCTGCATGTTTTCTGGTGCCGCCAACCCAGCGTGAGCCCTGTGGGGCAAAGCCCAAGGGAACCCCACAGACAGTTGACAGGGGCTGCAGTGCATACTGGACCCTGCATTGTTTTGATGGTGGCAGTTATTAGTCCTACCTATCTCTCCTGTTGACCCTCTCCCTTGATTTTTGGAAATATTCTTTTGTATTTTATTGTTTTTAATGTTAATAATCCACTGGATCTAGATGCTTTACTTATGTGCAATGACAAGAGGCAATGCCTTCCCTTTGCAATGTTAAAATATCTCTTTCCATATAAGTGATTTTGGCCCTTTCTTTCTTTCTTTCTTTCTTTCTTTCTTTCTTTTTTTTTTTTTTTTTTGCCATTTTCCAATGTCTATATTTGCTGTTAGATTTGTTTTATCCAGATGGTTATAACTCATACAAGAAAAATAACAAGAAGTAACAATTTGGTAACTCACTCTCTCTCTCTCTCTCTCTCTCTCTCTCTCTCTCTCTCTCTCTCTCTCTCCATTATATTCAATTTCCATAATACAACTTATGCCAGTCACAACAGCCAGGTATGGGATCCTGGGCAAGGAAATATCGTCCTCCCTGGAGCTGGTACCCTTCCAGTCATGGGTCACAGAAAGTACATTCCATGCTCATTTATTGATGAGAATAATACAAAAGCCTCATCCTAAACGCTAAACGAGTCTAAATAATCGTCTTTCAAGAGAATTGTGCACTTGTGGTGAGTTTTTCACATCACCCCAGCCTTATGCCAAAATGCTCACGACAGCAAGTTGCCCTGTCCCACAGCCAAATTTTTCCCATGACATATTCATGTCATTCACCCCTCAAGCCAAAATTTTTCATAACATGATGGTTACATCATCCAGATCGTAGGGCTCAATATTTTTATAAAAGTTTGATAATCATACTATCAGTAAGGATAATAACTCAATATTAATCAGGCACGGTTACTAGGCTATGCTAATTGACTCCTTGGTGGCCGAGCACATGTGGTGCCATCTGTATATCACGATATTTACAAAAAACAACAGGGTATATTACATAAATCCTCAGTCACTGGGTTGGGGGGACTATCCTTGTGGGGAGGGGGGTGTCATTTAAAGTTAGCTATCCTATGATATATGTACATGAATGAGGAAACTACCAAACAAGTGTTTTAGCATACAGCATTTAATTTAACCCCTTGGTGCCGCTCGAAAGCTGGCGTGCGGCTGTATGCGTCATTGGGTTAATTTAATTTAAACAATATTGTGCATAGATATGAGTTCGTGAATGTCAAAAGAACACTTTCCTTCACAGAAAAGAAGGAAATCAATGATTTATGATGATAATATTTCTGTTTTGCTTCACTCTGACAGTTAATACCATCCATCATCTTCAAATTTGTCTTGATTTGAAATTGGTTATTACCATTGTAAAGAGTACTTCAATTTGAAAAGCATTTTAGAGGTGCATTTTTTAATTTCGGAAAAATAAGTGAGATTGTTTTGTGCTGAAGATGATAATACACAATGACACCTGCTGTAAAGTAGGCCATAGGTGCCATAAATACATAAATAATGCACCCCACCCTGGCATCTGATGATTTTTATTCTGTTTTTTTGCAAAGATAATGTGAATAAATGACTAAATAGAATATGCTGGTTCCCATACCCATCACATTTTTTAGAATTTATTTTAAAAAGAGATATTGAATTCTTGGTTAAGTAATAAGTTTTTAGACTAAAAATGGGTTTAGTCTATTAAAAAAAGGATTTTTTTAAACAGTAACTGGCAATAGTCTCCTCGCAGAGTACACTAGAGGACCTTTTTTTAGTATATAACATCATTAGATTTAGTTAAAGATATATAGAGATGATAAATGGTGCCTGACATATATATATATATATATATATATATATATATATATATATATATATATATATATATATATATATATATATATATTTAGTTGTTTAATTGTTTTCACACATAGACGGCTAAACTTGTACTTGTACTGCCTGTCTCGCTTGTTTACCCATTTCTTTAATTTACAAAATTATTTTGTGTTATCTTATTTTGCTGTTACTAATGTTTATAACATTATAGTAATTATAATGTTTATAATAAAAATAACCATCGATATTCATAGCACTACTAAAGATACATTTTTCCGTCAATTCAAGGAAAGGTGAAATCAGGTAAGGCAGAGCCATCTAGTGGAGAGAAATTTCATAAAAGAATATAAAATATGAGCACAGCATTTTCCCCATTTTCTGTTCATTTTTACCCGGCGTGAATGGGTTAATGTAAACAAAACTTTAAAACAATGGGAAAATAGGCAATGGAGACCCGACTTTGGATATACAAACAAATGGAGTTATGAACAGCCTCTCGGTCCCCATTATGTTCTTAAGTTGGGGACTTTCTGTATATATATATATATATATATATATATATATATATATATATATATATATATATATATATATATATGTATATATATATATATATATATATATATATATATATATATATATATATATATATATATATATATATATATATATATATGTATATATATATATTATATATGTATATATAATATATATATATATATATAATATATATATATATATATA